GATGGGTATGTATTTTGGTATTTTTTTATGCTTTCTGAATGCCTCCAGGTAGATGTTATCAGGAAATGGGCTTCCCTTTTCACTCTTTTTTCTAAGAAATTTCAAGATACCACTGTTGGTCGTTTTGATGTAATTTAGGATTTAATTACGGCCTATTTCCTCTTTTGTCTGCTTGTCCTGCTCCACAATCCCCGTTCAGGACTTTTTTTCTAGTTGGAATCCATCTTCCTTTGATGCTTTCAGTATCATTCAATAGTTTGTCCATAGACCTTTCAATATTGCAACTCAAGGCTTAAAGTTTTTTTTCTTCAGTACTTTCAGCTTGAGAAATGCTGAGTGTGTTCTTCCATTTTGATTTTCTAACTCCAGGTCTTTGCACATTTCATTATAATACTTTGTTTTCTTGAACTGCCATTTGAAATTTTCTGTTTATGTCTTTCCTTATTCATTTCCTTCAGTTCCTTTACCTTCTTTATGCTCAAGAGCAAGTTTCAAAATCTTTTCTGATAGCCATTTTCATCTTCTCTTGTTTTCCTGTCTTTTTAATGACCTTTTGCTTTCTTTCTGTATAATGTTCTTGATGTCATCCCACAGCTCTTCTGGCTTTCAGTCATTAATGTTAATTACATCAAATCTGTAGTTAGATGGTCTCTAAATTTAGATGGAATATGTTTAAGATCAAATTTGGCTCTCGTGGACTTTTCATTTTTCTTTAGCTTCATCCTGAGCTTGCATCTGAGCAGTTGATAGGCTTTTCCACAGTCATCCCCTGGCCTTGTTTGGCTGATGATAATTGAGCTTCTTCGTTGTTTCTTCTCACAGATGTAGTCAACTTGACTACTTTGTATTACATCTGGCTAAGTCCATGTGTGTGTCACCTTTTTATCTTGTTGAAAAAAGGTATTTGCAATGAATAAGTCATTTCTCCTACAAAATGCTTATCATGGAATCTCCAGCATTGTTTGTATCACCAAGGCCATATTTTCCACTAAGGATCCTTCTTCTTTGTTTCCAAAATTTGCATTCCAGTTATCAGTAATTATCAATGCATCTGGACTGCAATTTTGATTACTTTTAAACTGAAAAAACTTGGTAGAATTCTTCAGTCTGAATCCTCATCATTGGCTTCAGTGGTTGGCGCATAAATTTGAATAACAGTGGTATTAACTGGTCTTCCTTGTAAGCACATGAATTGTGCTGCCATAGACAGCATTGTACTTCAGTATAGAACTTGAGATGCTGTTTTTAACAATGAATGTGATGCCTTTTGTTTCTTAAATCTATTGATCTAGAATAGTAAAACATGATTATCTGATTAAAAATGACCAATACCTGTCCATTTCAGCTGACTAATGCCTAGGATTTCAGTCTTTATGGGTTCCATTTCATTTTTCACTTAGTTTTTCTAGATCCATACTTTGTACATTCCATGTTCTGGGTTGCAGCTGTTTGTTTTCTCTTTTGATTTGTGTCTCATCAGCAAATGAAGGTCTTGAAAGTGTTACTCCATTCATGTCAGTAAGGTCACCTCTACTTTGACCTGGTAGCTCTTCCCCCAGTTGTATTTTGAGTTCCTTCCAACCTGAGGTGCTCATCTTCTGACACTTTGTTATCCAGTTTTCTGCTGTTACGGATCAGGTTTTCAGTGACTACTTACTGTGTGTAGTGGTGTAAGATAAGCACTGACCTGCTAACCATAAGAAAACCCTATACAGGTTTGCTATGAGTTGAAACTGACTCTATAACACTTAATAACAAGAACAACCCTTTGGAACTGGTCTGCCCTACTGTCTTCCTAGTCTTAAGTTTGTTAGGTCCACTGAAACCTGCCTTCCGTGGGTGACCCTGCTGGTATATAAAATACCAGTGGTATAGTTCCCAGCATCACAGCAGCACACACACCCCCACAGCATGACAAAATGTCAGAAGAATGGTGGATAAACTCTCTTGTATTTTTTAAGTGCTGTTGAATTGGTTCTGACTCATAGCTACCTTGTATAGGGTTTCTGAAGAGTGGCTGCTTGATTTGATCCACCATACTTGTGGTTAGCAATCCAGTGGTTATCCTGCAGTTCCAGACCCAGACTCCTAAAAATAGAAATCGTTTTATCTAGGTGAATTTTGTTATCAGACTTAATGAAACCAAAGAAAAAGAAATCAACCCTTAAACTTTAAAATATTGAAACTGTTTGGTAAAATACACAAATATGGAAGTGCGGTGGCTGTAGAGGATAAGCCCTAGACTGTGAACCACAAGGTTCACGGTTTCGATCCCACGAGCCACTCCATGAGAGAATGGCTTTTCTACTTTTACAAAGATTTACAGCCTCAAAAACCCTATACGGAGTCGCTATGAGTTGGAACCGGCTCAGCAGCACTTAACAACTATATGTATGTATGTATGTATGTATACACACATACACACACACACACATATATATATACACATACATATATATGTTGTTTTTGTTGTTAGGTGTCATCGAATCGGTACCAACCCTTAGCAACCTTATGCATAGCAGAACAAAACACTTCGCATGGCGCTGTAGGATAAGTGCTGAATTGTTAACCACAAGCCCTATGGTTCAAACCTATAAGCTGCTTTTTGGATCATTATGAGTTGGAACTGACTTAACAGTACTTAACAACAACATCTATATATTTACCTATAAGAATAAGGTTTGCCAGTCCTTTGGTGATATGCCTTTATCACTTGTTACACACTATCTAGCAGGTTTTATATGAGTAATGTTACTAACTTTATGGCCATGAGTAGATGACATGCCCTCCCTATTTCTACAACAAGGGTAATAGTACCAATTCCATAGGACTGTAAAGCCCCTAGTGTGCTGTCTGCTGCTTATTAAGTGTTCAGGAAATATTTTCATTATTAATCTAACCAAGTTTTCATATTTTTTGAATGTCTGATTATTTTAGACCTGTTAGAGCTTTTGCTTTTTAAATACATAGGACTTCTATTTGTTTGTTATTCATTTTGAGTAAGAAATATGTACACAAGAGCATGCCATATCTCTTCATAAATTAAAATGTGACAGTTTATTTTTTGGCAGACTTGTTTTATTACCCTTGAACCCCACACAGTCTTTATGTATAACAGTGATATAAATTTTGTCCTGTTTTAAATACAGTAATGTTGAGAAATACAGTGTTTACCTATTTGCTTAAATGATGATTCATGTTGCTAAACTCTCTTGGTACTTGTTTACAGGTGAAAAACTGCAGTGGTTTAAAAATCATCTTGATGACAAAAAAGCAGAATATTCAAAAAAGGATGCTTGTGAATTAATTGAAAGGTAAACAGTTGTTTTGCTATAAGACGGGGTCAGAAAGGGAATTCTCCAACCTGATTCTTTAGGAGACAGAGTTCTGTTCTGGATTATGGAGGAGCAAATTACTGAGACTTTGGATCTATATTCTGGCTTAGCTACTTTAGGTTTGTAATGTTTCTGGGCCTCAGTTGTGGTTAACCCAGTTTTACGGGATCAGTAAAAGCTTCCTGGGAAAAAGTGTCATCTATACTGATACCTGAAGGGTAGGGATTTGCAGATGATAGTTAGGTGGTAGAAGAAACTTTATGAAGAGGGAACACTATCTAAAACATCCAGAGGTGAGACCCAAGATGACACATTTACTATGACCAAAATAAGTTCAATGAATGAAGGGTGCAGGTACACAGGGACAATCACCTTATGAAAAACCTCATATCAGGTTAGGAGTTTGGCTTGTCTGGGGGCAAGGGGATGACAACTTCAGTTTTGATGTATTAAAGGTGAAACCTCTTGTGAACATTTAAATGGAGATGTTCAGAAGGTTGTAGAATCTGAGGACCTGGAATTAGCTCATACTTTGATAGCAGATAATGATTTGGTCATTGAAATTTTGGAAGTGATTGAGAGATTAGAGGATTTCAGGAACCCAAAGGAATATAAAAATGTAAAGGACAGGCAAAGGCAGGAAATGAAGTTGTAAATGAAGTACAGACTTTGTAACTAACATCCTTTTCTTATTTTTCAGTTATATAAATCGATTCAGCAGTGAGTTGGAGCAGATTGAGTTACATAACAGCATCAAAGACAGACAGGGAAGGCGACACTATTCTCGAGAGACGGTTATCAAGCAGACGATGGAGCGTGAGCGACAGCAATATGAAGGATATGGTCTTGGTGTGTTCACTATGATTTTCTGTTTTCTATCTTAAGTACATAGCACCTTTGTATCAGATTTCAAAGGTTTAATATTTTTACGCGATTTTATGTAATTCAGTTTTATTTTCATTTTCTTTCCTACAGTGCCATGCCAGGACTCATTTAATTAAAAAAACCTGTGTACAAACATATGTGCATTTTTACAGATTTATCTTTTAAACAAGAGGGCTACTGTTGTCAGGCACTGAATTTTATGACATTTTGTATAGTCATACCTCTTATGTTAATTGTTGGAAGATTCTTGAAAAATGAAGCAACATAAGAATTTAAAAGTAAGACTATAAACCTGAATCAGCACTAAAAACAATAGATTATTTTTGTAAGAGGTCAGAGCATTGCTTAAGAAATAATTTTTTAAATAAATTTATGTTTTTTGTCCTTCGGAAGAAATTTGGGAAGAAAATTATACATCATTGTAATTGAAGGGTACTGTTTAAGAAAGTTCATGGAACACCAAAAATATAGTAGGTTTTTAGGTAACTTTTGGAATCCTGGTGGTACAGTGGTTAAATTGCTCAGTTGCCAACTAAAAGGTCAGAAGTTTGAACCTACCAGCTTCTACTCAGGAGATAGATGTGGCCATTTGCTTCTTGAAAGATTTATAGCCTTGGAAGCCCTATGGGCCATATTTCTTTTCTGTCCAATGTCATTATGAGTCAGAATTGATTTGATGGCAGTGTGTTTTGTTTGGCTTTTCCATAAGTAACTTTGGTAGGTGAGTAATATAGAGTGAAAAATTATAATATATAAAATAAAAAAATTATATAGAGTGAAAAGAACTTTTAACATTTCTACAAAAGTGTTGAAACTAAAAGGAAAAATAAAAAGATTAAAAACATTAGAATTAAAAAAAAAAGTCAATAAAGATAGTTGCAATCTTTTCATTGTTGAAGTGAATGTTGTTATGTGCTGTTGAGTCGGTTCCAACTCACAGTGACCACTGTATAGGGTTTCCCAGGAGCGGCGCTTGAACCTCCAACCCTGCAGTTCAACCTGACCTTGCAGTCTAGTGCATTAACGTGCAGCGCCACACCAGGACTCCTAAAAGTGAATAGCTCTGAGGAAATTATTAATGGTTACCATGTTCAAGGACCCTTGGGAGGCACTGCAAAACTGTTTGAATTGCAGGGTTATTCTAATTATTCTAATGTATCTTTTAGTGCTAGCTAGATTTTTCCACATGTAACATATAGATTTTAAAATAATTTTTGATGAACTTTTTTAATAAAGTAAGAATATTAAATTTGCTTTTATAATTAGTTTGATATAATGAAAAGGTAATTTTCTTTTACCCGTGCTCTTACCATCTTACCCTCACACCACTTTGCCATAAGTTACCCAATTGGGGTGAGGTTTTGTTTGATTTTTTTTGTTTTGTTTTGTTTTTTATTGTAGGGAATTTTAGTGATGTGATTTCTTTGTGTAATGTTATGTTTGCATAATCTGGACTCTGGTAATTAGAGAAAAATAATTGCTAACTAGGTTAATTACTAACGGATGTCCATAAGTTTTGAGCTATTGGTTCTAGGAAAAATTAGAATGATCTTTAAAAAAATGATTGGCCTTAACTCTTGTTGATTTCTGGTGTGACGCTGGACTGTGAACCACAAAATCTGCAGTTAAAACCTACCAGCTGCTCCTCACACACCCTGTACTGGGTTGCTGTGAGTCAGAATTGCAGAATTGACTTAGCGGCACTCAGCCACAACAGTAACTGATGACAAAACAGTAATCATTAGGTCCAGGGATTGGGAAATTGTATGGAAAGTCAAGAAGGTAGCACTCACTTCACATTGAATAAGGGGTTAATACTAGGATTCAGAGAATTGCCTTTAAGTGGTAAAGTGCTAGAGAAAGGGAAGGGCTTTGAGCTAATCGTGTTTTGTTCTATTGTACATAGGATATCTCTGAGGCCGAATCAATTCTAGAATACAATGACATAATGCTAAGATCTATAGTTAAACGTTAGTATTATTGTTAAGTGCCACTGAGTCAGTGGTGACTCATAGCGACCCTGTATAGTGCTTCCAAGGAGTAGCTGGTACAGTAGATTTGAACTGCCCACCTTGCAATTAGCAGTGCAGTGCTTATAATCCTACAGCGCCCCACCAGGTTTCCAGTAGTTACATTACTGTTATTGTTCAGTTACACCAAGTCAGTTCTGACTCATAATGACCCTGTGTAGGGTTTCTGAGGTTTAAAGTGCTGACCTTTTGGTTCTATTCTACACTGCCACACCAGGAGTCCCAATAGTTATGTGAGTGTTTTAACTGTCTGAGTGCAAACTCAATTCTAGTGTTCTATTAACTATGCCTGGTGCTTGTTGCAGAGGCAAGATAAAAGATTTGTGAGCTGAGAATAGTTCACAATTGTCTAGATATGTGTGGACAAAATTGTTTTAATAAGATTCTGTGGAGAGCTAGGTAGTAACTCTCCTCCCATGGTGGCATAACTATTTCTGATTCATTGAATTTGGGACTTATTTTTTAAAAACAAGAGTGTGCTTTAAACACTTGATCCCTTACAGTCTAAATTTTCTGAAATAATTGTAAAAGTCCATATGAAATTATATTAAAATTTTTATTTTATCATCTACTAATTGATACTAATGGTTACTGTTTTGTCATCATCTACTAATTGAAATGAGCTCTGGTAGCGTAGTGGTTATGAATTGGGCTGCTAACCCGAAGGTCGGCAGTTCGAAACTACCAGTGGTTCCGTGGGAGAAAGATGAAGCATTCTCCTCCCATAAAGAGTTACAACCTTGAAACCCTGTGTAGAACCAACTCCACAGTACTTAACAACAACAATTGATACTAGAATTTATTTCCTATTTTAATACATTGGCCAGAATTTTGCAACTGTGTTCCCTGTTTTTATTAACCCATCAGCTGTTCCTTGGAAACCCTATATACCAGGTCACTATGAGTTGGAACCTATTCAACAGCACTTAACAACAGTATATGTCTTACATATTGGTATATGATAAAATTTCTAGTCATGGTAAAAAACTTTCATACACCTAGTATTTTATTGAACTTTGAGATATAGGCACTGAACTGCTAACCACAGGTTGGCAGTTCAAACCCACCAGTTGTTCCTTGGAAACCCTATTCAGGCTTGCTATGAGTTGGAACCAACTTGATGTCACTTAACAACAATAGCATTGATAATTGAAAGGAACCCTGGTGGTAGTATAGGCTAAGCACTGGACGGCTAACTACAAGGTTGACATTTTAAACCCACCAGCCATTCCATGGGAGAACAAGGAGCCTGTTTGCTTTTGTAAACATTTAGTCTTGGGAACCCTATACAGGGTCACAATGAATAGTAGGTGACTTGAGGGCATTTGGTTTGGATTTGGTTATTCATAACCATGTTTGTTATTTTTTTCACCTTTTAAATAATGTGAAACTTTAACATTTTGATTTTCTAGTATTATGTCCATCCTGCTTTCCTTAGATAGACTAAACTGAGTTGAAGTATATACATGAAACTTTTATGCTTTCACCAAGAAAAAAATACATAGAACAGCCTGACACCTGTCATGTCATGTAGCTGTTAGTGTATTGATGGTTAGAATTTATCAGTATCTTCTCATGGTTTGAAATGGCAAGGTTTAGTTTACTAATAGGTTTGTTGTATTTTATAGATTCTTTGCTAAAACTTACTATTCTACAGCATTCTTAAGTTTCCATACACTGAACCCTTTATACTTGAAAAACTTAAATTTTCTTGTATTAATAGTAGTAATGTTTTGAAATTTTGTTTTGCTTTTGATGTTCTTCCTATCTGTCAGTTATTATTTGTTATGTCTGAGATAATAAATGGCCACATTATAAAATGATATAATTTAGAAAAGCTTATGTAATGGATATAAATTATTTTCTTTCTTAGAGATTCCAGACATAGTAGATGCTGGTAATCTGAGAACTTTTAGGTGAGTCTGTCTCTTTTATTATTTCTTTGAAGCTGCATATAAATTACATGAGGCATAAAATTTCTTCTCTTTTGAATCTAGATTTTAGAGCTAAAGAAAAAATGGGCTTCTCTTAACCTTTTTTTTTTTCTCTTTTGTAAGAGAATATGAGAATTTTCCAATGTTGTTTTTATTTGAAACATCAGATAGATAATGAAATGATAGTGACATAACATGCCTTTTTTTTTTTTTTTAAATACCTTAAAAGAATATAGAGCTTCAAAGAGCTTGATCCTACTATTCCTCCTCAATTCTTATTTTTTGATAAGATAAAATAACAGTAACAGATCTGATGACTTGAGTCTACCTAGAACTGTTTCATAGAACTAACCCTATTTTGGTTAAGAATGTGGTTAATGGGAAGTGATACCAAGGTAAGGGTTAAGTCATCAAGAATTGGTTGGTCCAGTGGGCTTCTAATTATATTTTTCTGTTATTAGGAAGACCATTGAGTAGGATTTAAATTTTTATATTTTTAAAAAAGGTCTATCTTTAAAAAAATAATTTTTACTTATGTGAATAATTATTCATAATTAAACCATGTTGATGGATCTAAGTTTTTATTTCAATTGAATTTAGATAAATTTAAACTCAGTTATAATCTTTGAAACCCTACATATTGTTTTATGTACTTTTGAACTCTTAGAAATTAAATTTGTTCTAATAGAATTCTCCTATTGGTGTTGCACTGTGGGATAGTGCACGGAATCACAAGGTTGGTTTGAACCACAGGGTCAGTGATTAAAAATCACCAGCCGTTCCTTGGAAATAGGGTTGCTTTCGGTTGTAACCAACTCTGAGGTACTTAGCAACAACAACAATCACATTTAAAATTTACATTTTAGCTTATGTATAACTTGTATTTATAACTTGAATGAATACATGGAGTTTAAGAGTCTACCCCTTAAGTCTTCTGTCTTTAAGATCAATCAAATAGATAACTGTACCTGTGTTTCTAAAACAATGCAAGGTTTTTCCCCAAAAAGTTAGAAATGGAAGAGATTAATATAGCATTTTTTAATATTGTTAGTTCTAGATTAGTTCTTGAAACAGTTATCACATTCTTGAACACAGTATTGTCACAAGAAAGGAGCATTGATGGCACTATAAGATAAGTAGTGGACTGCTGTCTGCAAGCTTCACAGTTCAGACCCACCAGATTCTCTCCAAGGGAGAAAGATGAGCCTTTCTGCTCCTGCTAAGGTTTACAACCTTGGAAACTCAATGCTGTGAGTCAGAACCAACTTGATGGTAGTAGAATTGTCACAAGGAATGCTTCTCTTGAAAAAGTGCACAGTTTTTATTATAAGAATAAAATTACTTGATTTCTAAAATTTACCTGTGATGAACTACCATGTATGAAAAGGAAAAAAAAAAACTTCTTGATCATGTATTTCAGAGATTGACAGATATGACTTATATCCTACTTTTGATGTTCTTGATACATATAGCATGATAGAGGAAGATGCTAAAGTAGAATTTTAAAAAAAGTGGAATCTAACCTCCTTATGACTTCTGCCTATACTTTCCTGTACTGCTTTGAAGTTTTAAATATGTACGACTTTGTGCAGTTGCTGCTAGTATATACTAATGAGAAAATGCAGTAAGCCTACGTTCTTAGGACATAGTTTCTTTCTAGTGCATTTATGTTTTTCTTTCTAGTGCACTTCAATCTGTTGTAAATTTATAAACTTCTGTCACCTACTTTCAAAGTTTTTAATATTGATTGTTTACTATTCCCTCACCAATTTCTTTTGTCTAGGGAATGGGATTTTAATCTGAAGAAGTTGCCAAACATTAAAATGAGAAAAATCTGTGCTAAGGATGCAATTCCTAAGAAATGCAAGAAAAAAAATGGTACAACTGTAGACAAAGTCTTAGAAGAATTGGAACAAAAAGATGAATCCAGTGACTCAGATGAGGAAATGACTCCAGTAACCTAATTGTCTATAGTTGAGAATAAATAGCTTCAAGTTTCACTCATTGGTTATAGTAAATAATTGTCTAGATCATTCCTTTATATGAAAAGAGTTCCATTTGCAGTTTTGTAAAACAAAGTTAGAATTTTGCTTAAAACATTGTTAGGATGAATAATAAATGTTGCTTTATTATTTATATAAGTTGTTAAAATGGGTAGACATGATCTATGAAAACCAATTAAACTTAATTTTAAATTATTATGAGTAAGAACAGGTATGCTTGTTTATTTAGGACTGCAGAGTAGTACTTATGAATCGGGCTGCTAACCTCAAGGTCGGCAGTTCGAAATTACCAGCTGTTCTGTTGGAGAAAGATGAGGCTTTCTGTTCCCATAAAGATTTACAGCCTCGGAAACCCTGTGCAGGGTCACTGTGAGTTGGAACCGACTCCACGGCACACAACCACAACAACAATAAGCAACAACAATAGGGTTGGCTGGCATGCAAAAATGTATAGAGTGAGTTATTTGTGTGTGTGTGTAAAAGCTGTGGTAGCACAGTGGTTACAAATGGGGCTGCTAACTTCAGGGTCAGCAGTTACAAACTACCAGTGGTTCTGTGGGAGAAAGATGAGGCGTTCTACTCCTGTAAAGATTTGCAGCCTTGGAAACCCTGTGCAGGGTCACTATGAGTCGGAACCGACTCCACGGCACATAATAACAACAGCAACAACTCGGCAGAAGTGGGTTTTAACTTCGTATAGCAATTTGTTTGTAAAAGGGTCCGGTTGATATCTTTTGAACTGTCATGATAGCAATTTTGTCTTTCAGTAATAGTGTTAGACGAACTCTCCTTTTAAACATAAACCTTATTTTTTACAATACATAAAAGGAGAAAATGTGATGACTGATGAGTTATACATTATTCTTATTTATTATCTTCTGAGTTAAATGGTAAGGAAATTAACAATGATTTATACTTTATCATTTATCTTTGGATAAGTGACTTTAGGTTAACTCTGTTTGTTATGTTTCTGCTCTTTAATTATGAAAAATTAAGCTTTGTTTGCGGAAAGATAACTGAAGAATGTAGAGCCAGTTACTCTAATGATGCCTTTTTTTCCCCTTTAAGAGACAGGTTAAATTGACAAGTTATTGACTTATTATTTCAAGTATCAGAAAAAATACGATTGTGGTAAAATGTTATTTTTAATATATCTTGTTATATGCAACTTGTCCTGTAATCTGTTTTGTAAAGGATACTGTGGAAGTGTGGATATGAGTATTTTCAAGAAAAGAAATGCTAGTGGTGAACTAGATAGCAAGTCTCATTGACAGGTTATTTAAAATGTTTGAATTATTTTATCTCTGAAAATTAAAAAGAGTTTATTTCCACAGTTTCCATTCTTTACGATCTAATTAATTTTCAGTGATGTAGCTGATGCTGATTTGCTTTAGTAATCTGAAAAAGAAAGGCATGGTTTTGTGATCAAATAAGTTCAGCTCTTCTTTAATCTTTGGGGACATTTCTGTATGTCTTTTTCTGGTTTTATATGTGCTTCAAATTTAATCTCATGATGGCTCTAAAATCAAGTCATTACAGTAAAGAAAAAAAAAATTACAAAGAAGAGAATAAAAACTTTTTAGCCTGGTCTGATACATTAAAAGCCATACTGTTAGATAAATAACTTATAGGAATAGCAGATTGTTCTACCCTTCAAATTTTTGTTCCTAGTTTTCTCTGTACTGTCAAAGGGAAAATATAACTAACAAGCTACGCTGCTGGTAACTAATACAACTAACTTTGTGCTGATTTACCATTTTATTGTTGTGTGTTGTGGAGTCAGTTCTGACTTATAGTGACCCTGTATATAGTTTCTGAGGAGTGGCTGATGAGTTTGGACCATGGACCTTGCTGTTAGCAGCCCAGTACTGATTCTACAGCACAACAGGACTCACCATTTAGAACCGCAGTAATCAATATTATGGACTTCTCAGGAGGTCCAAAGCAACTTAAGAGATAATTGACCTTTAGAGGGATGTTTTAAATGGTGTCCTTAGTCACGGACTATAGAACATGTTACTACAGATTACCTCTGCTCATTATCCTACACCCCTTTTTAGACCAGTATGGCTTGTACCTCAGTGTAAAGAAAACAAAAATTCTCACTGCTGGACCAATAAATAACATGATAAATGGAGAAAAGATTAAAGATATCAAAGGCTTCATTTCTCTTGGATCCACTATCAACACTAATGGAAGAAGCAGTCAGAAAACAGTTGATGTATCGCATTAGGCAAATCTCCTCACAAGATCTTTTTAAAGTGTTCAGGAGTAAAGATGTCAGTTTGAGGACTATGGTGCAGCTGACCCAAGCCATGGTATTTTCCTTAGCCTCATATACATGTGAAAGTTGGACAGTGAATAAGGAAGACCATAGAAGAATTGATGTATTTGAGTTATGGTGTTGAAGAAGAATATTAAATGTACCTTGGACTGCCAAAAAACCTCAAATCTGTGTTGGAAGAAGTTCAGTCAGAATGCTTCTGGAAAGGCAGGATGGTTAGAGTCTGTCTCTCTTGCTTCAGACAGGACCAGTCCCTGGAGAGGGACATCATGCTTGGAAGATCAGCGGAAAAGAGGAAGACCACCAACAAGATGGATTGACACAGTTGTAGCAGCAGTGGGCTCAAGCGTATCAACTTTGTAAGGATGGCACAGAACCGGGCAGTGTTTCATTCTGTTGTGCATTAAGATGGCTATGAGTCAAATGGACTTGCTAACCAAAGCAGCAACAGCATGTCTTAGTTAGAGTAAAGTTAGCAGAGTAGAACTAACTCACCTCATTGGCATTTCCTTCTGTGTAAACCAGGGGCTGGAAAATTTGGTTGTAAAGGACCAGATAGTGAATAGTGTAGGCTTTGCCAGCCATGTACAATTTCAGTTGCATATTCTCTGTGTTTATGTTACCATCTTTTAAAAATGTAAAACTCATTCTTAGGTTATGGGCCATAAGAAAATGGTCTCAAGTTGGCTTGTTTATTGTGATTTGTTGATCCCTGGTCCCAATCATTGAGCTGAATGTCCATGGAAAAAAGTTAATAGTATATTTCTAAACACAGATCAGTTAGTCCTAACATTTCTGGTCTCTCCCTGTCTCCAATCTCTCTTCTGCTGTATTGACACCTCTGTGCCTTTAGGACTCTGCTCACCCCAAACAAGCCTTTTCTGCTCTTTATCCATCCTGTGTTCCTCAGAGAACTTAGGCCAGTGCTCTGGCTTCTACTTCTAAATCATTTCTCCTTAGTTCTAGGAGTCTCTATCCCTGTTTCTTTCTCCTTCTTTTCTGCATACCAATAACACCAGTTGTCACTGAGTCAGCTCAGACTCCTTGTGACCATGGGGAGATTTCAGTGACTGATTATTCTAAAGTGGATAGCCCGTACTGCCACAGCACTTCTAGATTGACTCAAACTTTCACCTGTTTGGTTAGCACTGTCAACTGTTTGTATCACCCTGGGACTCGATTGTCTGCTTGTTGTTAAGTGCTGTGGAGTGGGTTCCAACTCATTAGTGACTCTGTATCGGGTTTCTGAGGAGCAGATGGTGAGTTTGAACCACCAACTTTGCATTCAAACTGACCTTGAAGTTGACTGCTTAAGTTGTGGACTCCCTGTAAAACCTGTGCCCATTCATATAAAGACAGTAGCTGTCAGCTCGGATTTATTCTCTCTTGTTTCATTCATTTTACTGATTTCAGTAGCCCTGTGTATAACGAATCTTAACACTGATCTTTCTGTTCCTTTTCTCTAGCCTATCTAACGCACACTCATGGTTATACCCAAATCCTATTAGCACGTGAAACTCTGTAAACTAAATTTCTATCCTTCTCGACTGCTGGAGATCTATACTTACTTGCTTTCTCAGTACATATCAACTACATACTTCCTAGTTTCGTACTGTTTTTTATTCAGTTTAGATTCAAAGTTCATGGTGCTTCTTTGTATGTGCCTTCATATTCTTTGATCCTGATGACAACATTGATCTATCAATACCCAAACCAATAAGACTCAGTTATCTGTCTCTTTCATGCGTGTTTACAAGCAAATGAAACATGGCTGGAAAATAATCCGATAGACTTTTCACGCTCCTGTTTGAAAATCTCAAGTGAATTGTCAATGCTGTTGAACAATCTTACTATGTATTCCTATTCAAACTTTCCAGCTTTGAAATAATTATTTTGCTACTTTATCATGCTTTCTAAAAGCTAAAAATAGCAGTTACTGTTGATTCTGATACCATGTAAATACTAGCGTCTGAACTCTCAATTCCTGTGTTGAACTTTCATAAATCTTTTGCTGTCTTAAGCAATAAATAGAATCTAACAAGCACTCTTTGTTTTTTTTTAACTGGCTAAATCTTGTTTGTCTTGCTTGATATTTCCCTATTGGAGACCTTGGTACTTATCCTGCATCAACATTGTCATGAGTTTTTAATGATCACTGATTTTGTTTCCTCATCTCATTGCTGTTGTTAAGTGCCATTGAGTCAGGTCTGATTCATAACGACCCTATATAGGGTTTCAAAAGAGTGAGCTGCTGGTGGATTTGAACCACCAACTTTGTGGTTAGCAATCCAATGTGGTTACCTTACAGCGTCACACGAGAACTCGTCGTCCTATACGTCTCAGCTGAAAAGTTATGTCTTATCTAAAACACCTCTGCTCCCATACCCTCTCTGCCCTGGGTACTAACTATTATAGCACCAAGTTTAGGATTATTAACCACCATGATTAGTGATCTAGGAATGGTTGATATAATTTTGGGAGCTGGGGTAAGGGTATAAGAATTCAGGCGTCCAATCTAGGCAGAAGAATGAGCTGATAATAATTAGTCTAATAGGCTGTTGGTACTCTAAGATAAGAGTTTGTTTATCCTGCATTAAGGTTTAGAAATTGGAAGATAAGAGTTTGTTTATCCTGCATTAAGGTTTAGAAATTGGAGCTTTAAAAGAGACAGATATTA